AGATCCGTAGCCATGAGCTCGAGAACGAGCACACATGCGGCCGAGTGAGCGAATGCATCGTGCAAGCGCACGACGTTGGGGTGTTGCACGTGACGCAGGGCTTGGATTTCACGCAGCAGTGCCACAGGAATACCGGCCTCAATGCGCTTCAAGCCGACGCGCTTGAGCGCAACCACCACACCTGCGCAACCACCACAACCGAGCGAGCCGAGTCAGACAAACCAGACCCATTCTCCTAGCCAAAACACGTCGTCTTTGAGGACTCACCACTCTCAATGTGTTTGGCCTTGAAGACCACACCATGGGCGCCTTCACCAATCCGACCCAGGATCCGAAACTCTTCCATCGCAGAAGCCATGAAGCTCGATCAAAGAGGCCCTCTCAACGCCCTCGTCACCAACGTATTGCTATCACCATGGATCATGGACCTTAGACAGATTGATCAGAAAGCTCAGCTGCCACTTCCAAAAAAAAACAAAAAAAAAAAAAACACATCGACATAAAGTCTGACAATTGGTTAGCAACCACACACACACACACACACACACACACACACACACACACACACACACACACACACACACTCTATCTCTCTCTCTCTCTCGACACACACTTTCTCTCTCTCTCGTGACAACATCGGGGGGTCTGATTTTCTGCGGATGCGAGCGAGCGCTGCTTGAATTTGAGGTGAGGGGGGGTCGTGGTGTGGGAGCGGTGAGGTGTGCTGGTTGTATGAACATGGTGGTGGTGGGGCTGAGGGGATTTGTGTGGAAGGATGGGGGAGGTTGGGAATGGTGCTGGTTTGCAAAGGGAAGAGCGAAGGGTCTGCTCGTGGTGCAGTTGCGTTCCACTCATGGATGCGAGTCTTGTGCATACAGAGCAACGTGCTTGTTTTGTGCCACCGGGGTCATGGCTTCTGAGGAGTTTGTGCCCACTGATGCGGTATGAACCATGCTGTCGGTACCGGTTGAGCCCGAAGCGCGTTCTCATACCAGGCCTGCGGTTCGGTTCGGTTGAAACAGGAGCTCAAGGCCATCGGGGAGGCAATGAAGGATGACAACTTTCGCAAACTTCTCGCCGAGTATGCCGAGGAGATTAGCAATCCTGAGAACAAGCGGGTCGGTGATGCATGTGCACATTGTGCGCGCCATAGCTTTTGCCTCTGGCTTCCCTCGTCAGCTATCTTGTCCCGTGGTACACCAGCTCACATTGCCAATCAATTATCACCTCTTACGGGGGCATGACTATA